TACCAACATTGTCCGAAACTGTGAAGTATTGAATTGTGTAGAGAGGAACATACATGTAGCTGGTGAATGTTGTCACTTGAAGGTAGAGGCATTAAGTGAACATTATAAAGTCAATATATGACATCAGAATCTGTAAGTATTGTAAAAATTAGTTTTAAGGTGAAAAGTACTCGAAAAGTATTCGGCTGAGTACTTTCTGAGTACTTTGGACATCAAAATCACGATTTTACGAAAGAGTCTGAACGAAGGACAAAATTGATTTTGTTTGTTCACTCTGTGCATTTGCCATCCAGTGCCAACATTCCCCAGCTTTGTTCCCCTCTGAATAATTCAATATTTGACAGTTTATGCCAGTACTCGGAAAGTACTCGACTCCAACTCTGGGCTGTTTACCATATGAAACAGACATGGAGAATTGCTCTGGCTGAAGGGTCATGCCCACTTCTCCCATCCTCAGTAATCTGCATTGTCTGTTATTGTTCTAAACATCTAAATGTCAATATTTCAGGTTGATGGTAATAAGCAGAAGATCGACAGTGACAAACTAAAGCCACATACTCCGTTCATTGCAGTCATTGGAGAGTTTTGTGACTAATGCCAACAGTATGAGTGTTTTGAATTGCATGAATTCAGATTTTTAGATAGAAAGAATAATAGAAAGAATAATAATAAATAATAGTAAAAAACAAATGTTATTTTTATTGTCAATTTTCGAGAGCGGTTGGTTCGCTTACCAAGCAGTAAAAAAACTCGCCTTACATGTACTACTTTTATCCTTTTATTTCAGGATCACGGGAAGACATCTTCCAGGGCCGGAACCTGTTTTACCTCGTCATAGAGGGTTCTGTCATCAATGATCGCATTGCAACCTTCCTCGAAGCTGTCACAAGCCTCTTCTTGTGTTTTTACACACTCTCTTTAGAGTACCCCCCAGAGGCAGCAATCACAATGGAGTTTATCCAGAGGTGAGTGAGGATTTCAATGTTATTGCTACAAAACAATATGGCCTTGAAAGAGCATGATGGCTGATGCAGAACATGACCCTTGGTGATGGTGGTTATGTCAAAGCATCACGCTACACATTCCCAAGTGCCCATCAAAGTTGCAATATATCATAACCCTGGTGACATGGTGACCATCTTCAAGAAAAGGTGCCATCTTCAAGAAAAGGTGAGTGGAAAGTCGCGAACGGTGGCTAGATGAGACCACTGTAGACATAGATTGATGGACTGCATCTGTGATGGATGCCACCTACAAGTCTGGGAATGCTCTTTTATAGGAATATGTTCCCATAGCAATGCATTCCAAGTTCACAAAGCAGAGATAATTGCCCTAATCCACTTTATGCACACACCACTTGTGATTTTCCATTCGCCTTTTCTTGAAGATTGCATTGGTTACTATGACAGCAACAGTCTGTCAATGTGTTGGCCTCTATATTCCCCTTTTGTTACACAACTTCCGTTCTTGTTTTTAGGGAAATGATCGGCATCAATCCAGACGGGCCAGTTGTTGCAAAGACTGGAGGCAAGAAGAAAAACATATCCGCCGTCGCTCCCAAGATTGTGGCCCTCCTTCGTGGGATCATGGAATTCGAGTCAGACTGGCATATGGATCAGTAGCAGATCTGCTGCAATTTGTTCGCTCTGAGACATAGACATTCGCACCCTGTTGCCTTCATTTGTTTGGGTTTTTTGTTTTCTTTTTTTTACATTTAATTTATTCTTATACAGTAACTGTTTAATTAACTCTCAATTTGGGTTTGGCATCAAGTGGAACTTATTGCGCCTAATCATACATGTTAAAGTTAAGTTACGCTTCACAGGTTTTGTCAAAAGAAGTTTACAACTTGGCAATGTGTGCATACATCTGTACATTAATTCTTGATGATGATGTTTGACTATTTCTTGTGGCTCCCTTGTATGTCATACATTTTGGTTTGACATGCTTGATACATTTGATGTTGGTATTTTATGCTACATGCAGGTTTAATGCCATGTGGGTGTTTACATCCAGGTCTACATAGGTATATGGAGAAAAGATTCACAAAAAAAATTTTGAATAACCTATTCAGTTACATGTATTGATGTTACATGTATTATAGGTCTGTTTGACTGAAAAAAGTGGCATTTTGAAAGTTCTGAGCCTTAGACCTGTGTAATTGTTGATGTACACTCCTTCCACCCTGTAGCCTTCCTTTTTTTAAAAAATTCTTATACAGTATTTAACTCTTAATTTGGTTTTTGCATCAGATGGAACTTATTGCGCCTGATCACATGTTAAAGCTAAGTCATGCTTCACAGATTTTGTCAAAAGAAGTTTACAACCTGGCAATGTGTGCATACATCTGTACATTAATTCTTGATGATAATGTCACGGACCGGCTTGATTTAAGTCTAATCTTGGAATGTGTTATGAGTTTGGTAGCCATCCGAGTAGTCATAATAGTTCCCACCCCGTCATGCTTGTAACCAGTATTTAAAGAGCTCGGTGGGATATGAAATGATCAGTTGTCTGTAACTATTCATATTGCTTGACTTATACATGTA